AAAATTTCAGATCAAGGAATAAGAAAGAATTGCAGTGCCTCTATGTGAACTACAAAGCATTCTGCAGACTTTCGTGCCAAAATCAATGTTGACAAATAGATTAATACATTTTAATGTTTCTTGTAGTGTATATATTTCAAAATTATTAAAATAACTTGCACAGCTGTTTAATTACTTAAAACAGCAATAACGTTCATTTATAAAGATATACAAGGAACTTCATAATTATCGAAATACTTCATTGTTTTCGTGAAAAACTGAAATTTACTAAATTACCTAACTTTATAACATTAAATATCTTAGTAACTGTGTATTATGCTCTGTTTTATGAAAGCTTAACTGCTTTATTCTTGTTATACATTGAAATATTTTCTGGTTTATTTATTAAACGTGTAATCAATTATCAGGATTACTAAATGTGTTAAGAATTTCCATGCATGCTTGTGCAGTGTGATTTCATGTTTGTGTAGTGAACTTTGATTTTCATGAACGAAAAAGAAATACAATCTCCATATAAGTACTTTTTTGTTTTCCAGTTTCTGTCTTTAGCTGTAAAAGTAAATTAACTTCAAGTATGTGTCTGTGCACTTTTGACGATGTAAATACTGAAATGTGTGTACAGTAAAATCTCAACTAAAAAAAATCCGGAAAGCTCTTTAAATTTTGGTTAGTCGAGCATACAAAAAATGAAATACTGTAGAAAAGTAAGTGAATAGAAGAATAGACTACTACTCTAAAATGATAAAAACAATTCATCTTATTTGTATCAACTTGACTATCAAAAGCCAATATTTAATATGCATGATTTTGAAAAAAAAAAAATCTATGCTGCTGATCTCTGGAATATGATAACGGGTGATTTTTGCCATGGTTGTTAAGTGGATTAAGATTGCAAGTTGAGACTTTAAATATGAACAATAGTAATCTGAAAATTTGAAGTAGTAATTTTATATCCAACAATCTTTGCCAAATAACGTCCATATTTTAAATAATTAAAATATATTTTTAACCACTTCTTATTAATTTTATAAATCCTATAATTTAAATTTTGTTTACTTTCAACTATTTTAATGCTTGCCACTATAAATTTCATACTTTTTTAAGATTTCATAGTTGCTAATTAAACTTCCTTTACAATTTATTTAGTTATTTTATACATACATATATTTTTATGTAAGAAGGGATTTATGTGCAATACATATCAGTGAAAATCATTTAACACAAAACTGAGGGAGCTGAAATATTTTTTCGTGTTAAAGACTATTGGAAAAAAAAAAAAATCATATGTTCAACAAAATTTAGTTTCTTAGAGTACATTTTATTTGCATAATATATGCATGTATTTAATAAAAATCAATGAAACAAAAAACATCCACAAGAAATTAATGAAATTTAATACAAAATTTTCAAGTTTTTTGTAAAACAAAACTATTAAGTTTTGCGAAAATAATCTGATATAGTCAAAAGTCGTTAATTCGGACACCTATAATCCGGACCTCAAAGCTAAAATCTTTCTGCTCATGCGCCGCGTTGACACATGCGCATAGGCGTTTATGCGTGCGCGCAAGCGCAGAAAACGTTTTCACATGCACGTTTAATGTATAACGGACGGTATAAGCTAAAATTATCTAATTATCTATTTCAGTTAATGTTGATGATTGCGTTGTTCCTTAATCTTCGAATTGGATCCGGCTTATTATTTTTTGCAGACTGTAAGAGCAATTTTATAAAAGTAAACTTGAACTTTCGATTATGTCAAATAGAATTTCCGATGACGGAGCTCCCAAAGGATCTACAAAACGAAATTTTTTCGATGTCCATCAAACAAAAAGTGGAATTGCTGCAAAAAATGGATAAAGACATGAAGAAGGTGACAGAGAGGTTAGTGAAAACGAAAACATTTCGATTGACAAGTTAGTCGGTATTCTCGACACGGGAATTACGGGGCTTGAACAGCGAAACTGTGTAACTGAACAAGAAATTATGTCTGTTTATAGAATTAAAGAGAAAGTATTATCACATAAAACAAAGCAACTTAAACAACTTACATTGAAAGAAATGTTTAATAAAGTAAACAAATAAATATTAAGCTTTTTTTTTTTTTGGTAAACTTTGATACCCTTTAGATCATAATTGTTCTTTATTTCATAAATTACGGTTTCATATTTTTAATTTTAGAATTTCTGCATGCCATCTTACGAGATTTAAACTGATGATCTATAATCCGGAAAAATCGATAATCCGGAATCGCCGAATTCCCAACGAGTCCGGATTAGCGACTTTTGACTGTATTTTTCTTTGCATTTAGCATCAAATTCTTAACAAATTGTTCAATGTCGAACATTTTGTTATTCATTTCACCATTGGAATGTGCATCTAAATAATTTAATATAAATAATAATAAATGTATGATGTTCTTCATTTCGGATGACGGGGAAACAAGAACTGCATTATTCATTTTATTTTCATCGTCGGAATCTGCATCAATGAAATTTTTTTAGCTTTGAACAAACTCCAAAATAACTTTGTCTGCATAATTGGGGGCTGTACACACACATTATCATAACCTACTGCAACATATTCTTCCAATAGTACAGTAGTACAGTTCATTAATACAGAAACTTTCTCAAATATTTCATAAAGTGTCAGCTCAGTTTCAGTATCCTACTTCTCCATTTTTTTTTTTTTTTTTTTTTTTTTCTTCCGTCAAAGAATCTGATACTTTTGAGAATCGTGTGTAATGATGAAAACAATTTTCATTCATCCTTGAAGTCACTGAATTCCATGCACAATGCAACATATGAACCAAACTCATTAATTTTTACTCACACTGCCATGTACTTTCCATCGAATACAAAAGCCATCTGATGAGAGATGAGATGTTTGTGTGGCGTTTGTAGAGGTGGAAGGCGAAAGTAGCATAGATAAACAAAACTGGCTCATGTCACAGGCTATTCTGAGGGAATTTCCAAGCAAATTAGCCTCCCTTCTATGAAACATGTGAAACCTCTTTCATTTCACACCCCGCTCAATTCTCGCACTAAAAAGTGGTTTCATGAGATATATAAAATCTTATTAGCAAAAACTTTGATTTTTATTATCTCATCATTTATATAACGTATCACATTTAATAATTAAAAAGAGTTATGTGATACAAACGCCATATGTTTCAATGTTACGATAAACTAAATCGTCCCTACTCTCTCTTCCCGACATGTGTGAGACGCACGCCCCGCCCACTGGGTTAGTCTATTTCTTATAAGGTCCATGCGCCACTGTTGGTTTCCGAATGACATTTGCAGGGACTTCACTCGTTGTTTGCGCTGAATATACAAATTCTTCTGACTGCCTAATTCTTCTTTTTCTTTAAAATTTTTCAGATTTCCTTTCTGGTAATCTTCTTTCATTCACAGTTTAAACCTGCTTTATCAGAAGACTTTTTTTTTTTTTTTTTTTGTATTCTTTTTTCATATCTGAATCATTTCTGTGCATCCCATACAAAGGATAGCCTTCTCTTGTTACAAAATTTCCCTCAGGCATGTATGGCACATCATCTTCAAATGGTCATAATCAAGACCACAGTTACATTTCCAAAAAGTGCTGTCTGCTAGATCATTTCGGTTTGAAAATCGCTTTCGCTTTAGAGCAGGTATTTTTTCTATGTAAGCGTTTTGTACAATCAGCTTTGCTTCTATCATTAAAGCACAGAGAAATTAACACATCAAATAAGTACTTAAGAATTAAAGACCCAAATATTGTGGAATAATATAATAGAGAGCTTATTCTATTGGCAGTGGTTTATGACCCCATTATGCTTTTTAAAATGCAGTTTTTTAAATCTTCACTGGACTCACTGTCTTAAAAAGGAGGCGATACTAGGCGCATTACAGTGAAGTACACTTAAGGGAAAGGATAAAATTTGTGAAATTTTTTAAGTTACCACAATCCAGAATGTTACTAAATACTTATTCCAGATTTATTGGGCAAAATGAACATCTACAGGCTGATTCCCGATGAAAAAATAGAGTTGACCAATAGTGTTCTTAAACAGTCCTTTAGTATGTTGCAATCACTGTGAATCACCCATAAATTCAGTGCAATCACTGTGAAAATGCCGAACTAGGCGTATGCAACTGAACCTACCCGCCCCCAAATTCAAGAAGGCGTTACAAACGAAATGGTGACATTAAAAAGGGCAAGTTTTTCAGAAAAGATTTCACAAAGAGAAGTTCCACCTATTCTAGCGTTCCTTATGTTTGCATTCATTTTCAAAATATTTCGCTAAGCATAAAAAATCCGATTTTTATTAATTTTTCTGACAGTTACCTTGCTTTTATATTTAAAAATAAGTAATCGATTGCCCTCCCATTCTACACACATATACTCAAGCATCAGTTTATGGTCAACAGTTCAGCTTTCATTTTACAGAGTTAAGAAAACATTCATTTTCTTGTAATAAAAGTTTGAGTTTGACTAAAGGTATATTCTAATAATACAATAACATGAGAGCAAACTTGAAAGTTCTGAAATGCACTTTATTCAACCCTGGAAGCAAGGTTTGTTATGGCTACATTTTACTCCTTTCGATCCTGAGGTTAAAATTTTGAATACTTTCATAACATAAAAAAGTATATCTTTCAACATTAGAACTTGCACAATAACTCTAGGCGAAAATATGATTAATTAAGGTTTTCGGTTGTTTGTTTACACTTTGTTTCGGCGATTTTTCACGTTTGGTTCCCATCCTCCGGCTAAATTCCATGTTGTCCATAAACAAAATATCGTGTTTTCAAATAAAATTCTCCTTCTGGATCATACTGTATATAAATTTGCAACCAGTCCTGAATGGCTCTTTTATCTATGCTAACTGTTAGTGTAACATTTTATGAAATAAGGTTAACATGCTTCATAAGTAAGGGGCTTCATAAAAAGTGTAGTGCTACACCACTATTTTTGTGAAATAAAGTTAACCGCATATTCTTTTCTCAGTTAGCAATTTCAAGATCATACTTCATAGGATCATTTCTATAGTATGATTAGCGAGTTCACTCACTGAACTTCGCAAAGTTCCCAACCACGATGATGTGAGAAGGGATCTCCTCTTGAGCGTGAAGAGGACTTGAGTGAAAGTTTTATACTTTCATTGAGTCATTGATGATCGCACCCTTTGCTATTGCAGCAAGGGGAAGGAAGAGATTCGTTCTGAGTGGTTTTTTCTAATCAAAAAGTAGGATGTTGTAATCGTAGATTTCCCTTACGTTGGTCATGCACGTTGTGTTAAAAGGCACTACAAGTATCCAGGGTATGCTATTTAACGCGTGCATTTTTGCTTTGGCCAACGGAGTTTTATTTACGTATCCCGATTCAAATAATCTTTCTATGTACGTATTATAACGGTGTTTTAATCTAACGAAGAGACAGTATTTACACAGGACTGCATAACAAAGAACATATGTCTAGATTCAGTTCCTTTCTGTACCTGCTAAGCATCCCACATAACCTGTTAGTAGGAGTGTGAGATGAAACTGTATTGTGATTGATTTTTGAATTCTTTCATCATACTAGAAGACAGAAGACGAAATGGTATTAAGGTAGCAGCCGGTCTTCCTATTATTTATTACTTATTTATTTAGTTCTTAGAGTGCCAGAATTTAAGAAGGTGTTGATAAATACGAATACAGCTCCTCAGCATATATTAATTATTTAGTTAGTTTTGAGTATTTACCGAAATTCGATGGTGCTAAAAATATAATTGTTAATTAATGTAATATTATGTATCATGTTTCGCAAGTAGTGAGATGTATTTTTCAATATTAATCAGTTACATTAATTTTTTTTTTTGTAACTTTTTCCAATACCTTTTAAGAATTTATAAATGTTCAAGCAACCTGAATGGCAGCAAATATAATTAACAGCAAAATATATGTGCTCAAAATAAACAAAGTTAGGCATTTTCAACAGACAGTTTTAAAATTGGTTGTACAAGCTTGATTTGAGCTAATTTCTTTTGATAAATTTGCAACAAAAAGTAAGAATGTAATGTTCTGAAATAAAGATGAAAAATGACAAAAATAAGAATGTAATTATCATTAAGAATAAGAATAATATAAATAAGAATAAAAATAAAAATGTAATCATTTCCTACTGAACGACGTAAATATTTCAGGGACATAGGTTCGAATTTATTTATTTTGATTTTGATTTGTTTTATTTAATACGTTTAATTTTTAACTGCTTAATAATTTTTCATTTTGTCGAAGGAATTCGACTGAGTTTAAATCGGCAAAATTAAGATATTAACTGCAAATGGTGCATTATACCAAAAAATATTTTCGCCTAGCAACAATCTTAAGTACTGATTATATTTATCCATTAATTAAAAATTCTGGAAAATGTTTCTTCATTAAGCATTTAACCAAGAGGACATTCAACAGACATGTCAATTTACCGGACACTGACATTTAGCTGAAAACATGTCTACACGTATTTACAAAATTGTTTTAACAAATAGGTGTCCATACTTATCCGACCAGAGGCAGTTTCTAGGGTCACCACGAGGATACATAGTACATAATATTATATACAAATAATTAAGCAAGGCCTTGAATAAGTTGGCCTTGAATTAAGAAAAGAAGAATTGCATGTATATTTTTATAGATTACAAAACTATGCACAATCGAATTTCAGTTAATAACACTCGAAATGCATCTGCACAACCCAATCCAAATCATTTAGTGAACGGGGTTAGAAAATACGAGGGCTATCCAGAAAGTAGATTAACGTTTGGAATAAAAAAATAAACAAAGTATAGGAAACAATTTTATTATAACAATGAAAGCCACACTCAAATACTTTTTCTCATAGTCACCATACAAATTAAGGCATTTATCGTAGCGATGTACGGCTTGGAAATTTCCTTCGTCGAAAAATTCGGCCGCCTGCGCCTTCAACCATTCGTTACTGATTCTGCTCATCTTGCAAAAACTGTGGTAACAGCTTTCGTGATGATTCGGCAACAAACTCGCGAAATTTGTGGAAAACCTCAAAGAAGTTCCGTTATGTGAAATTTTCGATTTTCGACTTTAGCATCGACTTTTTCGAGAGTTGCGGTCACTATGCTGGTTCTCCCACTTAGATCTTCGTCGTGAACATGGTTCGGCCATTGGAAATCTTATGCCCATGACGCACTCCACCTTGAGTGTAATGTTGTCCATACACTTCACGAAGCTGCGATAGATTTATCGGTTTAAGTTTTTGCAGTCGAACTATTAATGAGGCACCTCGCAGCTCGCGGGATTTTCAATAACGCAGACATTCAACCGTCACAGTATCTGACGGAGCACAGCAGACCTCTCACTAGCACGGCTAGATGCGATGAGCACGCTCTGACCCAAGATGGCCGCGCTAGCCCCGCCCCTAGCGCAAGACGGAAACGTAATCTACTTCGGAGGCCCTCGTAGAAAGAATAGTTGCAGCTGATGAAGCAAATTTACGTGTGTATTCGGTGTATTTAATATGGCAAAGCACACTAAGGCTATCTGATAAGGGCGGGATGCTCGTGGAGGACTTATAAGGGAAACGGCTCTATACACGTACACAAGGGGAAACCACGAAAACACCCATGCAGCCAGCCGGTCGCGGAATTCGACTCGGACCGAATACCAGTTCAGACTTTACCGCCTCAGCGCTGGGGGCCCAGCAACATTTAGAAAGGCGAGATGTGAAAATTTTGGTGCAAAATGTATGAGTTTAATAAACAAAAACTTTTGAAAATATTTTACTTCTAAATTAGAGTTTTGCAACAGTTTGTTTCTGTATATATTAAATGAGTCTTTTAAGCGAGAGGCGTTCCCAGTCAAAAAAGGCGTAATAGAAGAAGTTCTAATCATTAGAAAAGTACTAGATTAGAACAATTTAAACCTCTAAATCCTACAAAATGACGGAAATTTGTTTTATTTAGCATAGAAATAGCGGAATGAGGCGACTCCTTGGGTTTTAGTGCATACAAAGGCCTACTTTTAGAAATAAAACGAGTTGTAAATACTCAAAACTAGCTAACTAAATAACTAATACCAAGGCCAACTTATACTCAAGGCCTGCCAGACTGAACGAAATTCCGGTTCCCAGTTTTCATTGGCTTTCGCGAAATTCATCACTAGGTGGCGCTCTCATTCTGCTACACCAAGGCCAACTTCTACTTCTACTATTATGATTTGTAACAAAAACTAAGAAGCACCGGAGCCGAAATCCGATGGGCTCCGGCCCAATTTAAGCTCTGATCGTAGGGGAGGGGGTTGTTTTATCATCACAAAAATGAAATATACTTAAAATATAGCTGATGAAAAGTCCAGAGCGAAACAGAATGAGAGTATGAGTGTGTGGAAACAACAAATGAGGGGAATCTTGGTGAGAGAGAATGTTCTTTTTGACCGCGGCTCTCTGCTGAAATAATTATAGTTATCAAGCAAATGTGTGTCAGGGGTAAAATGAGTCCTGAATCTGACTTCTAAGAATGAATGTAAAGTTGCTGGTTGCGCTTTCCCCCCATTAGTGGATACTGTATAAAGACGATGTATAGGACGTGCTTGAGCAGTTTATCTCAGTATTTCGCTCTTATTGTACTCGCTGTCACTTAACGCACATTTAAGAACACAAATTTTCCTTCCTGCGAGGTTAACTATGCATCAATAACAATACACTAGATACGATGGCATGGCGGAAATTACGCGTCCTAAAAAAACTCCCCAAATTTATTGCTCTTCTTAAAGGAAAAGGTTTCCGCATTGAGTGAAGGGACTTTACTGAACGTCATTCATGAGTTCCTATTCTAGGGAAATAGAGTATTGCAAGGTCTGCTTATGTTAAACTAAAAACGTTAGGAATTCTAAATTTTTCCCTTTAAATTGTGGTTCAGTTTTATAAAAAGAAGTACCGGAGCTCATCTTATTTAGTGCTCCGGTGCGCTCCGGCTAAAATTGTAATTTGTCTTAAAAATTGAGAAGTGCCGGAGACGGGCTCCGGTGCAATTTAAGCACTGGAAGAGTCAGGTAGTTACCCCCAGCACTAGAGCGTTCTAAAAATGAGAGACATAAATTTCAAGTAATATTATGCTATCAGATTTTGATTAAAAACTTTTGTCAGTAAGCCTATGGAGATAATATTTTGTCGAGAGCCCATGTCATCAAATGGTTTAAAGGCATTTTCAGAAGCAAGGGAATCGATTCAAGATGAACCTCGCAGGAGAAGGTTTGTAAGTGTAAGAACTGATGAAAATATTGGCAAAATCTGGAATAATGTGCGCTTGACACTCAGAATGAAGAAGACAGAGAAGAGCTTAATTTGGATCGCATCGTCATTCATTAAATTTCTACAATAGAATTGGGGATGGGGGAAAATCTGAGTAAAAACTGTTCTGAAAAACCTTTTGCAGAAACAGAAGAAGGGAGAAGTGCCTTGATGTTTTCAGGTAAGGTCATAACATTAGACTTCAAGTTTCGTACTAATGAAAGTACATTACTTGACCTGATATACTATCCATTTAAGGCTTTAAGTAATGCATTGGTCCTTGTCCCGAAAAGGGTGCATGTAAGTAGAGATGTTTTGTAGCGGGCTAAAATCATACTCATTTTCTGAAACATATCATTACTGGTTATTGGTCTTAGGTGTTCGATACGACACAGAAACGAAGCGTCAGAATCATAATAGCTAATTTCAAAATTACTATACTAAAAAAAAGTAAATAAAAACCTGAATGACCAAATTGAAGATCAAAAGCATGTTCTGATTTGTTTTTTCATGGCCAGGGAGTTGTCCACAAAAAACATGTGCCTCTACGACAGCACATTAGGCAGAAGAGACTCTTAGATCCAGGCTGAGAGAAGGCCATACGCAGTTATGATGCCTCAACCTCTAAAGGTGACTCAAGGGGGCATAGCCCCCCGGTCAACCCAGTGGGACAAAATTGCACACAGTCAAAGGTTATGAAACACAAGTCAAGACAGCCCCCAACAAAGAGAGCGAAGATGAATGTAAAAGACCGTTATCCAGTGTTGACCAAGGGAAGCCAAAACCCCAAGGACAAACTTTGATATTTAACCAAGAAGTGTCGCAGTAACGTCTCCGTTCTGCAGGGTTTACGCTTCACGTTTGCGCAATACACATTTTTTTAGCACGACAACCTTTCTCGTTTGGTGGCGACAAATGTAGACTTC